GGGGGCTGAGGGACACCCGCGCTCCGAGACCCCGCCGCGCCCCTCCGCGGGCCGGGCGGCCGGCGCCATGACGCTGTTTCACTTCGGAAACTGCTTCGCCCTGGCCTACTTCCCCTACTTCATTACGTACAAGTGCAGCGGCCTGTGAGTGCGGGGCGGCGGCGGGGCGGGGGGCGCGGGCCGGGCCGACCCCCTCACCGTCCGCTCCTGCAGGTCCGAGTACAATGCCTTCTGGAAGTGTGTCCAGGCCGGGGTCACCTACCTCTTCGTGCAGCTGTGCAAGGTGAGGGCCGCTCGGACCCCGCGCTGCTGGCCCCCAAGCTCACCAGACCCAGGGCTCCGCCCCCCCCCCGCTCGGATCCCCCCACACCCTCTCCGGGTGGGACCAGTCCTCGGAGCTTAGGGGCGCTCCCGAGTACCCACAGAAGACGACTTTGGAAGGACTGGCATCTGAGTCGGAGAGGTCTTAAAGCTATCTTGCCGTAACACTTTGAGTAAAATGGAGCAAAGTCAGCTGTGTGGTGCCATTAATAACTGTTCACTAACCCTGAGGCCCACGCGGCACTAACTCAGCGCGGCCTCAGACCTGCCCCTGAGCCCCTGTGAGGGCCACAGAACTCAAACTTGAGCACGGTCTGTCTCCCCCAGTTCTGTTGCCTTGTCCCTGTCTAGCGGGCTCTCCCACCCGTCCCCAGAACCCCCAGGTCCTTTCCTCCACATGCACACTGGCTGCTCACAAGGCCCACATGGTTGACTCCCGTCACCTTGAGGTGACCTCTCTGCTTTCTCTTTGCAGATGCTGTTTCTGGCCACTTTCTTTCCCACCTGGGAAGGCGGCATCTATGACTTCATTGGGGTGAGTGGGGCCAGGGAGCGCAGGGAGGGAATGGGGCGGGCCCTCTGGCCTCTGCTTACTCAAGCTTCACCCTGACCCACAGGAGTTCATGAAGGCCAGCGTGGATGTGGCAGACTTGATAGGCCTCAACCTCGTCATGTCCCGGAACGCCGGCAAGGGGGAGTACAAGATCATGGTTGCCGCCCTGGGCTGGGCCACAGCCGAGCTCATTATGTCCCGGTGTGTGCAGCAGCCTGGAGCCCAGATCCCGGAGCTGGGTCACCTGCGTTCCAGAGGGGCGCTGGTGGGTGGGGCTCAGGTCCTGGGCGCTCATTCTGACTCTGATTCTGGATACTAGAGCATCTCTCCCTTGCCTTCCTCAGCTGCATCCCACTCTGGGTTGGAGCCCGGGGCATTGAGTTTGACTGGAAATACATCCAGATGAGCATTGACTCCAACATCAGTCTGGTATGCAGTCCTGCTCCCTGGCGCACGCCTTTGCTGCCGTGTTCTTCCCCAAGACCTGGCCCTGACTCCCTGCCTCCCCCAGGTCCATTACATCGTCGCCTCTGCCCAGGTCTGGATGATAACACGCTATGACCTGTACCACACTTTCAGGCCGGCAGTCCTCCTGCTGATGTTCCTCAGTGTCTACAAAGCCTTTGTCATGGAGTAAGCTGGGCTGGGTTTGAGGTAGGGGGCTCCAAGGAGGGGTGCTTGTATGTTCTCCTTCGCTCATTGTGCTGTTTGCCCACAGGACCTTTGTCCACCTCTGTTCCCTGGGCAGCTGGACAGCACTGCTGGCCCGAGCTGTGGTGACAGGGCTGCTAGCCCTCAGCACCCTGGCCCTGTATGTCGCTGTCGTCAATGTACACTCCTAGGAGACATACCCCAGACATCACACACCTTTTGCCTGTTTCCAGGTTTCAGCGAAGTAAACAGTATTTGGAAATTTGTTTCCGCCTCCATTTGTCCTTCTGAAGCTCTCATATCAGTCCCATGTTCACCAAGATTCCAGGGGCCTCCCGACCCCCATTTCTGGCATTAAGACAGGCTGAGAAACTAACACTGATGTGTCCCTGTTCAGGAAACGGTCTCGGCTCCTTGTTCCCCCAGGGTGAACTGAAGATGACCTGATCCTTTCACAGCAGCTGAGAAGAGGGCCCTCGGGAAACAGGGGTGAGAGGAGCTTGAGTCTAGGGAAACGTTCCTGGGGGCTTCCTGCAGCCTCACCCTGGCCCTCTTCGACAGGCCCTTCTCTGGGCTTTCTGCCGCAGTCCCCTTTGGTGGTGTGCAGGTAAGGGGATCTCTTGGGGGCACCGTGTGCGGCCCGCGCTCCTGCGCACGCATCTGCAGCTCCCCTGCGCACACTGAACAGTGACCGCTGCCCCTTGGTGCTGCTCTTGGGCAGGTCTTTGTGATTCTGAGCGCTCAGTGTTTCGCGCAGGGCTTGGCCCGCAGCTCGGACCCTGGTCGTACTTCTCAGAGGAGCCAGTCAGGCAGCAGAGCTCTTGGCGCCCACCGACTCGGGTGTTGCCGGGATGCCAGCTCCCTGCCCCAGCCCCTCCTGGTTTAGTGGGGCCAATACCTGTCCTTCCCCTCCCTCTCCCCCAGTGGGATGTGCCAGAAGCTCCACCCTAATAGCCACGCTCACCCAGGGGGAGCACCCAGTTCCTACTGATCCCAGTGGGATCCCCCAGACCATGGCACTAGTAATTGCCCGCCCCCCATCTCCACCACTTTGTTAAGCTCCTGCTGTGATGGTATTTAACCCTGGCCTAGGAAAGCACCCAGCAAACCTCTGCTCTGCATCTCACATTTACCTGCAGCCGGGCAGCCGCATCTAACCCCACTCCCTTCTTGCCCGGGTAATGTCAGGGCCCGTAGGGGTCAGGAGTGGAATGGGAAGGTCAGAGGTTGGTCACCCTGACTAGGATGTGGAAAACAAGGAGGTGAGGCACCCCGCCAGCTCACGCAGGTGCCGGCTAAGGGGTTGCCGTCCTCCCACACCTCCCACCCATACCCCACTTAGCCAGTGATGCATGTCCAGACAAGTGAAAGTCACAGAGATGACGGGTCAGCAGTGCTGAGCAGGGACTTGGGTCCAAGCCCCCTACTGTGGCCGTCACGTAACCTTGACTTTCATGGGGCTTGTGGAGACTCCAGGCCAGCACAGGCCAGAGGCCTCAGGGTGTGGAGGGGGTGCCTAGTGGTGACTAATGAGCTAGAGGACCGTGACCAGGGCTGTGGTGGGGGAGGAAAGGTGCCACCTGAGCAGTGAGAGGATGGGATAGTGAAGGGTGAATTCCTGGGACAGAGGAAATCGTCATCTCGGCCTCAGGGTCAGGGAGGACTTGGCCTTTGCAGCAGAACAAGTTCAGGGGCTGTGAGGCCAGCAGTCGCTGAGGCACTAAAGGCTGGGCTGGGGGGCTGGCCTCGGGGGGCAGCCATGGAGACTTCTAGGTAGGGGAAGGATGGTCAGGTTCAGCGTTAGATTTCCAGGAGGAGACCAAGATCAGGTCTGTTTAAGGGGGTAGGAGAGTGGCTGGAAGCAAAGAGGGCTGTTTGTGTGTGTGGCTAGAAGCATAGAGGTGGTGGAGACCACGGGGGGGGGTGTGGCTGGGAGGCGAGGAAGGAAGGAGTAGAGTGACAAGATGGCCTTGTGTCCCAGAGGGAAGGAACCGCAACGTGGAACAGTAGATGGCAGCGAGTTTGGAGGAGGATGCAGAGGCCATTGGGGGTCCCCCCCGACATGCGGGTGAGGCTGGAGGCAGGGGTTCAGGGAGACCTGAGGCTGCTGGGCTGAGGTGCAGCATGGGGGGATTCTGATGAAAACAAAAACCTTGGAGCCCAGACTCAAACATGGGGCTAGGAAAAAGTGTGGTGGGGGTAGGGGTGGGATTCCCAGCAGCTAGTCAAGTTGTGGGATGAGAACTGAGAACCTCCAGGAGCTGGCGAGGGACCAGCCAGTGGCAGGGTGCCCATCCGGGAACACGCGCAGTCGCAAGCCAGTGAGACAACACTCCATGCGGAAAGCATCTGACCCCTGTGTCAAGCAGCCTCCAGGAGGGCAAAGGGTGCTAAGGGGAGCCTCTTTGCTTCCAGCCATTCTCCTACCCCCCTAAATAGACCTGATCTTGGTCTCCTCGTGGAAATCTAATGCTGAACCTGACCATCCTTCCCCTACCTAGAAGTCTCCGTGGCTGCCCCCCCCCCAAGGTGGAGGTGTGACTGGTGGAGTGGATCAAGGAACCCCGTGCTATAATCCTAGGCAAGAAATGGGGTTCACTCCCCAGGGAACACAGTACCTGCCACATGCCGGACTAGCAACTACTGGAGCTAGAGCCCTGAGCAGGGAGCTACACAGCTGTAGATGGAGGGACCAGGGCTGAAACACGTAAGGTGGCGCCCAGCACTGAGCAAGCACAGTTCACATGAGCTGGTTTATTACTGACATGCAAGTGGGGTGTTCTTAAAGGAAGCTCCCCAGCTGGGGCTAAGGCAGACCCACTCTGCAGGAGCTTAATCTCCTACGCCCCACCAAAGGCCCGCCAGCCCAAAGAAGCTTCCCAAAGGCCAGCCCAGAGGACAGGCTGAGGGGCTGCTCCAGGAGGGTGCGCCCCTCGGGGGTGCCAGGGGAGAGAATGAGGTCCCGCTGAGGCTGAGGTGCCGTCGGCTGCAGGAGCAGACGGGCGAGGACTTGACTGCTCGGGTGTCTTGTGGCTGTCCAGAGGCTCCCATGAGTCCGGCCCCCATCTGGCTACGGTGGATGCAGGGAGGGCTTGAAGGCCAGGATCCCTCTAATAGTAGAGTTCTTTATCCCACCAGCCTGGGAGAGAGAAAAAGGGGGCTCAGACTACCGGCGGGTGCAGGTCGGGTGGGGGCCAGGGCCGAGCTAATGGCTCAGGGCTGGGTGGATGAAGAGCACAAGGGCTTGGAGGCTGAGTGAC